CAAAAAAATTTAATTCATCATGATGGAGATATGGAAGAGTAAAACATACTTAATTAATAATTGTTATTAGTTGTGTTTACAATAATTATTTTTAATGTATTTAATTTAGAACATATGTAATTGAAGGAAGACGAATCGTTGATATAAAATTTATGTTTGATAAAATCTCGAAAATCAAACACGAGGGTTTTGACTGTACGTTCCTTAATTTAAGTTTACAAAAAGAAAAAAGATATGGTTTTTACAGTGAATTTATTTTTATTTGTATCATGTGTAATAAAAATGAGATTATCTCTACTGAACCATCATTAGATACCAACGGGCTTTTAACAATAAATATGGCAGTTGTATCATCAGCTGTAAATACCGGTCAAGGATATTCACAATTACAGCAATTTTCAGCTATTTTAAATATGCCATGTATGAGTAACCCACTATATCAAAAATGTCATGAAAAAGTTAGTTCATACACTGAGAGCGTTGCCTTGGAAGGAACTAAAGAAGCGGCTAAAGAAGAAGCTAGATTAGCTATAGAACACGGGGATGTAAATAAGAACGGTGTTCCTATGATCACTGTAGTTGCCGATGGTGCATGGTCTAAGAGGTCCTATAGATCAAATTATAATGCTCTGTCTGGTGTTGTTAGTAAATAATTTATTTAAAATATATGGTACACAAATTATGGTCATGATTATGCAATCATTATCTTATATATTTCAGGGATGTATTGTTGGTTATAGGACTAAAAAAGTGTTATACATAGGAGTAAGAAATAAATATTGTTCAGTATGTCATAAAGCAGATGTTATCCAAAAGGTACCAGGAGAACATATTTGTTATAAAAATTGGAGTGGAACGTCAACGGCCATGGAAGCTGACATAATTGTTCAAGGGTTTAAACAGAGTTTACAATCAAATAATTTAATTTATAGTCATTTAATAGGGGATGGGGATAGAAGTGTTATGAAAAAAATTAATTTAGCAAAACCGTATGGTAATGACGTGATTGTAAAAAAAATTGAGTGTACCAATCACATATTACGCAATTACTCGAATCGTTTAAAAGATATGTCTACAAAAAGAAAAAGTTCTTCGGGTACTGTTGTTCCAGGATTCATAAGAACAAAATTAAAAGAAAACTTGCTAAGATTACGGTGAGAATTATTGTGTATTTTATATTAATTTATTACTACTATTAATTTACATTGGATAAAAAGTGACATTTAATAACTATTTGAAATAAAAATAGATACTCTGTAACCAAGGCTATAGAGTTCAGAAAAAATATGACAACTTCTAATGACGCAAAAGCAAAATGTTTAAAAAATGATATTACTAATGGACCTATTATCATATATTTGGGTTTCATGATGAACGGTGCATACTACTTGCGTCCGAGATTATTATCAGTAGGTGAGTTGCGTCCCATCAAAAAAGGTTCAAAAAGGGTCATAGCTTATTTGCGTCCAACAGTATCTTTTTACACAACCTAGTTGCGTCCCAGTTTTTAATAGAATATTATATTGATTACATATACATATGATTCTATTATCACATTATCACATCACGTTTAAATAGATAAAATTATACAAAATGATGTAAATAAACATATTAAAAAAATTATACATAATTAAAAATATAAAAATAATAATACAGGTAGGAATATAATTAATTTTCATTAATAAAATCGTCAAAATTAATTACAAAATAAAAAGAGTTAACACTAAAAAATGTAGTACGAAAATTATTGAAATATAAAAATCATTAATTACTTAATTAAAATAATGTTGGCTGAAATTTTAGTGAAACGTTTTTTAAATATATAAAAGCGGAATTTGTTTTTTCTCTGAATTTTTTTATTTCTTTAATTAAATAGTCAATTTTTTGGTATTTTTTTGTTCTATAGTCTTTTTTGGGTGTATTTATGCTATTCATTAACACATAAGTATTAATTTGAAATGATTTTAAAACATTTATAAATTGATGTATATTTGGGTGGCTTGAGTAAAAAGATGAATTGAATTTAGAATGAAATGCTTCACATGCGTTCGTTGTTCGTTGTACACTAGACGAACATTGTGCCCACATACTTGGAGGAAATTAAGCATTTTCAGATATATAATTGTCTAATATGTAGTCAGTAAATTCTAAACATTCTGCTGGGACGATTGGAATGATTTCATAGGCAAATACGTTACTTACCATTTCTGGAGGTAAAAATGGCAGTGATAATGTGGTAATGAAATTGCCTATACACAACCCCTTAATAAATCGCCGCTTCCAATCCCCTTAATCTTATTATTTTTTTATCTTTATTTTATGATAAAAGTACAGAAATATAATACTTCAATCGTAATAAACCCATCGCCGACTATCCCATATCTTCCCCACCACTTTTCGTACATACACACGTGTACGAACGTTGCACGTCGTCGTCACTGACAGCGCAGAGTAGCTGTGCTCGGCGTACAGTCGTAACTGGTGAAGACGTGAACCGAAGTTTCACTTATCTTTCACACGTCGTGCTCTGTACTGTTGTCTGTGGTCTACTACAATATTATTCTAATCTGACATCGTAGAGCGTAGTATATCGATTGGTAATTGGTATATTGTACCAATATTATATATATTATATTTTGATTTGTACTACACAAAATATGTTATTTAAACGCGTCGTCTGCGGACAGAGCCACGGTAGTGATTATTAAATGCTGTACGTCTGTGCACTACGCAGTATATTCAATACATTGTTATCGTTTGGTAATTGGTATTGGTATAGTGTATAAATATATTGATTTGTACGGCATTGTCGGCGTTAACGCGTTGTCGGCGGATAGAGCCGCGGTAGCACCTTTGTCGTTTTCACGATAGAAGTTATTAAGTAGTATTTAGAAGTTATTATTAAGTGATTATCCTACATATTATATTTATAGCTGCGCGTGACGAAAACGTTTGCTCATATGAAATTTATGCCCACGTGCTGTAAATTATATGTACTTGGCCGCTTTGTCGTTGTCGTTGTCATTAAGTAGCGATAGCCCAACGTTCGATAAAGGACCGGTAAACGGTTTCGGTATACAAGTGTAATATAAAACAGCTTACTGCCGGATTAGTTTTTTAGATTTTTCTGTGTTTGGTTTTTTTTGTTAGGAGGATTAATTTAAAGTTGTTAAATTTAATTACCTAAGAAATGGCTAAAGAAAGTCTTTTAGTTAATGGAGAACTTGAACAACATACTGTTGTCCCCATTGTTGGCGATGGTGCCTGTTTATTCCGAGCTCTTTCTTTTTTAATACACGGAACACAAGACAATGCGATAGAGGTGCGATCACTAATTGTTGGACATGTGTTGAATGACTAGACCAAGTTTTCAGTTATGTCCCACAATAGAAATTGTGATAATTACTCAACGGCTAATGAATATTATGCTGATATGATAAAAAATGAAACTTATGGTGGGCTTTGTGAGTTTATAGCAGCGGGATGTATATTTCCATTTAATTTTAAAGTTTATCGAAATGGTATCTTATACACGGAGTCCGGATCTAATGATTGTCCAGTAAAGCTTTTACGATTTGGACCAGATTTGTCCAATGGACCTTTTGATGCTTATCTTCCTACTGCGACAGAAAACAATACCCAGAGTCGTATAGAGGAACTGGTCGATGAACGCGAACATTCACCAATTGCATCTTCAGTACACAGTAACATTTCTGCAAATATTTCACTATCCCAATCAAGTGAAACAGATCAATCTATTTCGTCCTCATTAATTAAAAAGAGAAGACGAAGGGCTAGATTTACTAATTACACAAGAAAAAAACAAATAAAAAAAGCACGAAAAAAATATAGACAGAATCAAACTGAATCTAGGTATAAGGAAAATACTACTATGCGTCTATGGAAAAGCAAGGTGCATTCAGGTATGGCATATGATCCAGATATTGCATATAGAACTGACACATGTGTAGCTTTGGGTTCTATGACCTATAAGTGTCAGTGGTGCAACGCTTTGAAGTGGAAAGATGAGACACTTGGTATGTGTTGTAGCGCCGGAAAAGTACAACTTGAGAGGTTAAAACAACTACCTGAACCTCTCTACAGTTTGGTTAACGCTCTACACCCAGATCATGTGCAATTCATGAACAATATTTGAAAATATAACGCCTGTTTTCAGATGACGTCATTTGGTGGTAAACAGGTAACAGCAGACGGTTTCTTACCGACTTTTAAAGTTAAAGGACAGGTCTACCATTTAATTGGAAGTATATTACCTGAACGCGGGCAGGGCGCACAGTACCTTCAAATCTATTTTGTCGGTGAAGACGAACGAGAAGTAAATATTCGGTGTTCTAAATATCCTAACTTAAAACCCAATTTAATCAAACAACTGCAGGATATGCTACATCAAGTGAACCCATATATAAAAGATCTGAAGAGTGCCATCGATAAAATACCTCCTTCAGAGGTCATAGGTAAGGTCATTTAAAGTTGTAATACATGCAGATAAAAAACCACCAGAAGAACATAGAGGCAGGTATAATGCACCAACCGCAAATGAAGTTGCTTTAGTGTTAGTAGATCAGCAGTTTGATCGAAGAGACATCATCCTCGAAAACCGAAGTAACTCACTTCACCGTATCAATGAGATACATCGAGCATACGACGCACTGCAGTATCCTTTAATGTTTTGTTGGGGGGATGATGGGTATGCAATCAATATACCACAACGCGATCCAAAAACCAAGTTACCGCTTAAAAAAACTGTCTTTGCATCAAATTTTTACTCATATAGAATAATGGTCAAAGAAGGCGAAGACAACTATTTAGTTAATTATCGTTCTCTTTTCAGTCAATATTTGGTAGATTAATACGCCAAAATTGAAACTGAAAGACTAAATTACATCAAAAACAACCAAGCCAAATTGCGTGTAGATAGTTATATTCATTTAAAAGATGCGATTGGACGACGAGACATAGAAGCTAATCAGTTAGGCCAAATGGTTATACTCCCGTCAACTTTTACTGATGGGCCAAGGTACATGCACGAAAGAACACAAGATGCTATGACCTACGTTAGACATTACGGTCGTCCTGACCTTTTTATTACTTTTGCATGTAATCCTCGCTGGGACGAGATAAAAGAGCTCTTACTTCCCGGTCAAAGATCATATGATCGACATGATGTAATTGCAAGAGTGTTTCGGTTAAAAGTCAAAAAGACCATGAACTTATTGACAAAAGGTATAATATTCGGAGAAGTGAGATGCTTTATATGTATTCAACAGAATGGCAAAAGAGAGGTCTACCACATATTCATATTCTTTTATGGCTTCAGCATCACATTACTCCGGATCAAATCGACAATGTTATTTGTGCTGAAATACCCGATCCCATACGTGACCCTCAGCTTCACGAAATCGTTAAATGTAATATGATTCATGGCCCTTGTGGCTGTTTTAATCGAAATTCACCATGTATGAAAGATAGCGCGTGCAGTAAACATTACCCCAAGAATCTCATTAAGGAAACTCAAACTGGTGATGACGGGTACAAGAGACGTTCAACCGATGACGGTGGATTTTCCGTCAATATCAAAGGCGTAGATATAGATAATCGTTGGATAGTTCCTTATAATCCAGTACAGTTAAGAACATGTAACGCTCACGTCAATGTGGAATATTGCAGTTCGGTGAGTCCATAAAATATGTGTGCAAATACGTAAATAAGGGCTCTGACCAGGCTTCATTTGCCTTAGAAAATGAGAAAGACGAAATAAAAACTTACGAAAGTGGACGATATATAAGTTCATCAGAAGCTGTGTGGCGAATCCTTGAATTTCCAATTCACGAGCGTTTCCCTACCGTTGTTCACCTTGCTGTCCATTTAGAAAATGGACAAAGGGTTTACTTTAATGAACAAAACCTACATGACAGAGTGAATAGTCCTCCTACAACTACACTTCTCTCATTTTTTGATTTGTGTAAAGTGGATGACTTTGCAAAAAATTTGCTTTACCCAGAAGTACCTGCATATTACGTTTGGGACAAAAAAAAATTCCAAAGAAGGAAGAGAGGAGTAAACGTTGTTGGCTGGCCAGATATCAAAAGAGAGCACGCTCTGGGTAGAGTTTATACGGTTCATCCGAACAATACAGAATGTTATCACCTTCGTATGCTTCTCCATGAAATCCGGGGCCCGATTTCGTTTGAAGCGTTGAAAACTGTAAATGGTCAAGTACATCCCACTTTTAAGTCCACGTGTAAGGCTCTAGGGTTACTTGAAGATGATGAACATTTGTACGCAGCACTAGAAGAGGCAGCACTTTGCCAATCTCCGCACATGATACGGGATCTATTTACGATTATATTAGTGTTCTGCCAAGTAACAGATCCCTTATGTCTTTGGGACAAATTCAAAGAATACCTATCTGAAGATTTTAAAATATGATTAGAGCGACAGGATTCCGTGGATGCAGAACACTTAGCGGACGTAGTGTTGAACAAATGCTTATCGGTAATAGAAGATGCCGTGTTAGCATTAGGTGGTCAGCCACTTAAAGAATATGGCTTACCTCAGCCAAGCAACTCTGAACAATTTGATAATAGAGAGTATCTCAAGGAAACAAGTTATGACTTAGTAGCCTTAGAAGACGTCGTAAGAAACAATGAAGAATCTCTGAATGACGAACAAAAGTTTGCTTACAATCAAATTATTACAAGTGTTAATAATAATGAGGGCCGAATATACTTTTTACCTGGAACTGGAAAAACTTTCTTAATCAATTTGATTTTGGCGAAAGTTAGAAGTACTCGCGACATTGCCTTAGCTGTAGCATCTTCTGGAATCGCAGCTACACTGCTCGAGGGTGGTCGAACGGCCCATGTTACCTTCAAATTACCACTCAATCTAACAACTTCGGTCACTCCCTTTTGTAATATATCAAAACAAAGTAATTTTGGGGAAGTTTTAAAAGATACAAAATTAATAGTGTGGAACGAAATTACAATGGCGCATAAGGGTGGTGTTGAGGCTTTAAATAGATCTCTAAAGGATATAAGGGGAAATAAAAGATTAATGGGTGGTGTAACGGTTTTACTGGCTGGAGACTTTAGGCAGACTCTACCAGTAGTACCAAAAGGGACCAGAACTGATGAAGTCAAGTCATGTCTTAAAAGATCTACTTTATGGCCTAAGATTAATATACTCAAACTGTCAAAAAATATGAGGGTACACTTGGGAGAAGAAGAGTTTGCTGGTGGATTTGCAGATCTTTTACTTGAAATTGGCAATGGTGATTATCCATCGTTTGATGAAATGATAAATATCCCAGAAAATTTGTGCACAGTTGTAACTACGGTTCAGGATTTAATATCAAAAATGTATCCAGATATTGCTCATATTCATGATAAGCCTATGGAATGGTTGTGTGAACGTGCTATACTCACTCCAAAAAATGACCAAGCGGCGGCTATCAATGATACTTTGCTGATGTCTTTTGAAGGGGAAGAAAAAGTATATACTTCGATAGATACAGTGGTCAACATGGACGATGCAACTAATTATCCGGTTGAATTTTTAAATTCATTGAAACCACCGGGCATGCCAAATCATAGGCTTATTCTGCGTGTGGGCACACCTATTATGTTGTTGCGAAATTTGAAACCACCTAAACTGTGCAATGGGACCAGGCTTAAAGTCAAAGCTTTACATCGCAATATAGTAGAAGCCACAATTTTAACAGGATGTGCAAAAGGGGAAACTGTGTTTCTACCACGAATCCCCTTTAATTCCGAATGATCATCCGTTCGAATTTAAACGATTACAGTTTCCCCTGAAAGTCTGTTTTGCAATGACTATAAACAACAAGTCCCAAGGCCAAACTCTTAAATTTGCAGTAATAGATTTGCGAGAAAACTGTTTTTCACATGGGCAGTTCTACGTAGCTTGCTCAACGTAGCTAACCTCACCTAATAGCTTGGTGATTTTGTCGCCTACTAATAGATCAGTGAAGAACATTGTCTACAAAGAAGTTTTGTTGATAACATATTGAAAAACTATTAGTAAAACATTTATTTTGAACCATTAGTGCTAAAATTTATTGTGGACAAAGCTTCTACCGCCAAAACCTATAACTTATAGAATAGGTTATGATAATAATCATTATCTTAAAAACTAAATTAATATGTATAAAATATTATTTCAAAAATCTTAATTAATTTAAATTTCAATAGATTTAACAAAATTTAATCTTGGCAGGTTACATACATTTATATACTTAAACCCGGCAACGACGGGTAATTCAGCTAGTACTTTTATAAAATGCATCTACTTTAGGGTGCCCGTTATTTATAGATGAACGATTTTTTTTCTTAAAAATACGAGGAGTGCTGCCCGGGTAATTTTTCCTATTGGTCTAAAAATAAGATCTGCACAATTTGAACTTTATATGACATCATTAACAGGGCGCGCTCTAAGCTCAAAGTTTAGAGAAAATGTACAATTTTTTAGTTTTTTAAATATTATCGCACAAGTTTTGGTTTTTCCTGAAAAGTCATTAGGAACTTTTTTGTAGAACTCGTTATTTACTAAAAAAAAGTGTTCTTATAATTTTTTCCTACACTCAATATTTTTTTGTAAAAATTAAAAAAACTAGATGAAATTAACATTTTGTGAAAAAATCCCGTTCGTATATTATAACTAGTTACTAAATTTTACACACGTATCAAGGCTGACGCCTAACTACATATTATATTAATTGTATATTTCAACAGATGGTTTTATTTTAATTTTAACATGATAATTGAAATAAGAATGATATACCTAGGATAAGACGCTATTATGTTTATTTTTAGATTAGAAAAACCTTTTTTATATCGGCAATGTAATCGCGTTAATTAAATAGATATCATTTAATGCTATCTGTAATAGTTTCGTTTTAACCGAGCACCGTTGAGTACGTCAATGTTTGCTTTTTTCTTCACAAGTAGTTTTAAATAGTTACCAATTAGTTATATTAAATTATTCATAATGTCATCATCCCGACAAGAAATTTATCTCGTAGGGCATCATAAGCACCAAATAACAGGTAGTAAACTACCATAAAATGGAGATTGTTTACAGGTTTTGTTTTATAACATGCGAATTGTTGGTTTTAACTTAGACACTAGTGCAAATTTAGTCATTGAAGAGTGTAATATTTTTTTGTAAAAATTAAAAAAACTAGATGAAATTAACATTTTGTGAAAAACACATGTTTTAATGTTTTTTGTAATTATCTCTCTAAATATTAAAGATACACAAAAATCATATACTACTAAAATTGACCTAATTTATTTTTACTAAAATATATGTAACCAAACAATTTTGTGTTAAACTAACTCATTTTGATTAAATTGAGAAAACATACAAAAATAACTGATTATTCTGAAAAACAAATTTTATAAAAAATACTTTTGTTTTCTTGTATTTAAATATTCAAAGGAGTGGCCAAAGCATTTTTTGTTGTTTCAGGATACGTAGATCTATAGTCCTTGACTGTCTGAAATAATATGAGAAAAATCTAAGTTTATTTTGAGTACAATATATTTTAAGAATGTTTAAATTACTCACTTGTAACAAAAATTGTTTTTGAGTTTCGTCTCTCGTAATACTGTTATTATAATCTTCTACAAGTTTTACGCCCCTTTCAGCTGAATCGTTGACAATTCTTAGTTGTTCAATGATAGTTTTTCCTTTTTGGTAAGCACTTGAGTTAAACCATTCAGACGGATGAATATGCAAAAAGTTTTCAATTTTAAAACGCTGAAATATATTTGCCGATTTTTGACTTAACAGTGATACTAAAATTTCTTTATCTGGTTTGCTTAAAAATGTTGTTATTTCACTCATTTTTAAGTTCAATTTTTTCGCATGTACTTCAGGTTCATCGATATTGATTTGCTCGTTTATATTCTTTGCCATCATTACTTTTGTGTTAACATCTATACTTTCATCAAATAATGCAAATGCAGCACACTCTTCGGTTAAATAGTAAAGGTGGTTAATAAATTTACTAATTGCTACTTCTGATACATTTTTGTCTATTTCTTCGTATTTTTTTAATTCTCTAAGAAACTTTATGTCGTTTAATGGAGCAGATGCGGCCTCCACGGCATAAATCCAATATATTACATAACATTTTACAATAAATGACGTAATTTGAAACAATGAATTTTCTTCTAATTTTGATAACTTAAATTCTGTTCGAAATAGATATAATTTTAAAGTATATATGGCTTTTGCCATCCACCTTGCCATGTGATCTGCACCAGGTTTCCTAAATTTGATTCCACCTGGAGGTACACCACCAAGATAAATAATTGACAAATCCAAAAGCTCGCGGTAATCTTCACGGGGTAGTTTTTTTGAAATGGCAATTTTAAGTGACATTAAAATGTCATCTAAATTGTTTTTGAAGACTTCTCGTACTCCCGTACTATTTATGCCCGGAACAAAATTTTGAGTATTTATTTTGGACCAACTAGCTTGAAATCTTTTGAATAATGGTATGTCTGGTCCAGATACGGTAAACTTACATTTTGTAAAAACTGCTGCTAGTATAATTTCGAACACGTGATGTCGACATCCAAAGTATAATACGTCCCTTTCTAACTTCTGCTCTAGTATAGTACAAGCTCCTTTCAATCTGCCAGTGTTTGACGCTGTTGTGTCAAAACTAAAAGCTTGAACATTTTCTATTAAATTCCAGTCTTCTAATGTGTCGTATATGGCTGACGCAACTTCATTTCCAGTTGCAGCTGGTATTTCTGGAACTCCTAGCAATTGTTCAATATTTGTACTTGTTCCAATTATTGACAGTCTTTCTACTGGTCTGCCCGTTATATCATGTAGTAATTTAGTATCCCAATGTACAGTGATTACTTGGGCATTCAGCTTACTGAAATTTTCTTTAATTTTTTCAGTATATTTTTTTCGAAAAATATTACGTTGGTTTCTTATAGACGTTCTATTTATAACATAATTCGACGGATCTAAAGAAACAGCTTCCATGAATGCCATAACTAAGTGTAAACAATCTCGTTCGCTAATTTTACATTTATCAAATGCTGCAGCTAAACGTGGAGTCAACAATTGTTTACGAGCTCTTTTTTGGGGGTTTGAAATATTAGTTTCTTGCTCTTGAATGTACTCATTTTCACTGTTATCTTCTTGAGAATCAGAATTTGTTATCTCGAAGTTCACTTAAATAAAAAGAAAAATATATTATAATCAAATTAACAGTTATTTTTTATTTTAGTTATGTTAAAAACTTACTGTCAGTAGCTGAAGTGGTCGGATTGTCTGAATGCTTACGTTTTCTCTCTTCTTCTCTATCTAATCGTTGTAGTCGTCTTTTTTCCAAATTGTCTCTTTTTTTATCAATACCAATCATGCAACCCGTACGTCCTTTCTCACGCTGTTTGATTAAAAATTGTTTATCTTCTTCAACGGTCATTATTATTAAGGAATTTTGATGTGATATATCAAATAAATCATTCATAGAGTTTGAAAACTCTAATCGCTTATTAATTAAAACTTCACTTGTTTTATTAATACTCTTAGATAAATTTTGCCATAATTCGTACAACTTTTTAAGTTTTAACTTACATTTATGGGGCTCTTGTGTTGGAATCCGAGCTTTTTTCCAAAAAATATTACACTCTTCAATGACTAAATTTGCACTAGTGTCTAAGTTAAAACCAACAATTCGCATGTTATAAAACAAAACCTGTAAACAATCTCCATTTTATGGTAGTTTACTACCTGTTATTTGGTGCTTATGATGCCCTACGAGATAAATTTCTTGTCGGGATGATGACATTATGAATAATTTAATATAACTAATTGGTAACTATTTAAAACTACTTGTGAAGAAAAAAGCAAACATTGATGTACTCAACGGTGCTCGGTTAAAACGAAACTATTACAGATAGCATTAAATGATATCTATTTAATTAACGCGATTACATTGCCGATATAAAAAAGGTTTTTCTAATCTAAAAATAAACATAATAGCGTCTTATCCTAGGTATATCATTCTTATTTCAATTATCATGTTAAAATTAAAATAAAACCATCTGTTGAAATATACAATTAATATAATATGTAGTTAGGCGTCAGCCTTGATACGTGTGTAAAATTTAGTAACTAGTTATAATATACGAACGGGATTTTTTCACAAAATGTTAATTTCATCTAATTTTTTTAATTTTTACAAAAAAATATTGAGTGTAGGAAAAAATTATAAGAACACTTTTTTTTAGTAAATAACGAGTTCTACAAAAAAGTTCCTAATGACTTTTCAGGAAAAACCAAAACTTGTGCGATAATATTTAAAAAACTAAAAAATAGTACATTTTCTCTAAACTTTGAGCTTAGAGCGCGCCCTGTTAATCATGTCATATAAAGCTCAAACTGTGCAGATCTTATTTTTAGACCCATAGGAAAAGTTTCCCGATCGGCACTACCCGAATTTTAAGACTTCAAAAATAACGGGCACCCTAATCTACTTCATCTTCTTGTTTTTTACCGGCACCTTTCAATGTTTCTATTAATTGCAGTCTTGACTCTCTATTTTCAGCTAAAATGTCTGATACTTTTTCCATTTTTCTTTTTTTTGACTTAGATGCATCTGTATCGCTTGGTGGTGGAGTTTGAACGGATGCAATACTAGTATCAAAACATTCAAAATCAATATCTTGATCTTCCAATATACTGTCATTACTGATCTCTTCGTTTTGTCCAATATCCGATAAATT